TATATATACACACAAAATACTGACAAAATAAGTAATCAGGATCACTTTTATTAATACTGAACACATTTGTAAAATCAGAAAACTGATATTCTGAAATCTTGTGAGGCTCTGGGGATTGTGAGGCCCTAAACTGTAGCTTGTTTAGCTTATGCCTAAGTCCAGCACTGCCTACAGGACTAAGCCATCCTCACTTTGTGTTGTTTCTTGCATTTTGAGGAGAGGAAAAGTTTTTGGAGTGAGGACTACTTTTCTGAATGTCTATCCTGTGAAGCAGAGATCTGTCAGATACAGTCAGTCAGTCTGTCTGTCTGTCTGTTCCCTGCAGGTTGTATCAGTATGATCCATCTGCTGTATTTTATCTGTTAAACGGTTCTTACAGGTGGAGGCTGTTAGAATCAATTTTGCAAACCGCACTTTTTTCCTCTCTCAGGCTGTTTGAATCCACTGTGAATATTGTTAATACGGAACAGAAAACCTAAGAAGATCCATATAAACATCAACTTTTACAAAGGATCACAGCTGCTTGCATTTAAAATTAGTCGAGGCTGCACTTCTTTGTGAGGCTTAAATTAACCCTGGACGAGTTAAGTAAGCGACCTCTCGCATCTCGTGTGGAGGAATCTGATTCCTTCCCTGGGTCAGTGCGTGAAAGCGGGAACGATCCGAAGCGAGCAAGCAAGGCGGACCTTTCGGAAATTCCTAGGAGGGAGAAGGGAAGCGGAGCTCCGCCCCTTTCGAGGAGGGCTTCTGCAGACTTTATGTAAAGCCTCGCAGAAGCGGCGGAGCTCAGAACTGCGGACCAGAGGGCGCCTTGCTGCGAGCGAGTGAGCGAGGTGAGCGTTGTGTCTAACCTACATTTTTCCCGTCTGTCTCTGGGGAGGGTGCTGGGCTATCATCAGTGCTTTACGGGCGTGTTGTTCTGATGGGTTTAGGGATATATGGTCCCGTTTTATAGGTATATCAGAGCCCTATTTATCTCCCTGCCTGGACTGGAAGAGCTGTTTAGGCAATTCCAGACGCGCACAGGTACTGTCAGGTTCTTTTGGAGGCGTTTCGGGCTGGGATTAGCCCCCTTTCTTTTGGAATTTGCCACTTCTTCCCTTGAGGTTTACGAGACTCGAGAGAGAGCATCACGGCCTCTTACGATGGACTCATCGTCCAATCCACTGTATGTGGTTTGTGAATATAAAGTGGAACGTTGGCTGGCGAGGGGAGGAAGATCAGCGGACCGAGGGAACCTGAATCGAGTAGCTGTAGTGATTCTCTGCCTTCCCCGCCCTTTTGATCCCGGTTTCAGCAGATTCTGCATTCCCGTAGAGAGCACTTCGTCGTTCCACCTGTTATTTCCACCTCTTCTCGCTACTCATTAGGCGGGTGATGTGGTTCTCCTCTTTCGCACTTTTCCTATTTGCTCAAAGGAGGGGATAATCGCGAAATGGGTTTAGACTGTTTTGGAAGTGAGCGTCAGCTGGACGCTTCTCCAAGTTCATCGCAGTCTGTTTGATGAGAGTTGGGCGTGATCGAAGAGCGACGTCGATTTGCCACCCTATTCCCGAAAGGCTGGTCTTAAGACAGCGATAAGGAGGAGAAACGGGTCGCGATGCTCGTGCCTTTGCGCGTAATTTGCTCGTTCGTTTTTTTTTTTTTTTTTTTACACACGCCAAAATCAGACGTCTCGCCAAAAGGAGAAGTAGCAGCTTTCGGCTGATAATCGAAGGGACGATCTTGGAAAGAAACCAGGAGAGTGGCTACTTCTGTCAGGAAGATTTCTTTTTCCCGAAGGCGTGAAACTGATTTGTGCGCTCTTCCTGGAAACGGCTGCGTGCGTGTCTAATAGGGTAGTGGTGATGCCCTGAGACTCATAGCTGAGTCCTGCAGGGGACCTACGGATCCTTCTTCCGCTTCACCAAAAGGGGTGCTCTTGGGTCAGTGGCTGCACTAGTGTTCCTTAGGAAGGAGCCTGTCAGGGCATGCCCTGGCGTGGAGGAGGCGGCGGCTGCTTGGCGGGAGGGTGGAGAGTCAGGCGGCGGCCGTGAGTGACTCAGAGTGACAGTCACTCTTCGGGCTGATGTAAGAGAATAGGCCCGGCCCAGCCTGTTTGGGGACGTTTGGGACACCCTCCTGTCCAAAGAGACAGCCCTTCTCTTCCCGGGCGTCCTTTCTGAGGTCTCTGCCTGTGCGAGCAGAAATAGCCCGTGGCTCTGGGGGTGGGACATAGGACGCACGAGTTCTTCCGACTCTCCGCCCAGCCCCGCCGATGTTCTTGTCTCAGTTGGGAACTCCTTGTTCCCAAACGGAGTTTTATTTTTGTGCTTGCTCTGTTTAGAGAATCAGCCCAGTTACGCCGTTTTTTAAGAGTCGCGCGCAAACTCGGGGACGCGCCGGAGGCGGCGGCAGGAAAGCGGCTAGACGTAGGCTGGTTTTGTTTACTGGGTCCGAGTCATTAATTCGTATCTTCGAGCAGCTGCCGTGTTCTCGTCTTCCCTTTTCCTCCTCCCTTACTAAGGGGCGGGGGGGAAGGAGTGAGGTGAGGAAAAAGCACCTCGACCAGCTTTATGGGGGCTGAGTCTAAATCCCAAAGGTAACCAGCTCGTGTGCGTGGGTTGCGCCCGGAGTTTTCTCATTCCTTTGCTCCTGTAACAAAGGCGGTGGGGTAGGGTGAAGCGGAGAAGATACCTCGAAGAGCTCAAACCGTAAGCCCCAAAGCTAGGGGCATACGTGTGGGAAGGGCAGATAGGCGGAGCCGTAGTAAATTCGGCGCACGTTTCCCCTTTCTTGGCAGCAGTAGGTCTGTGTGGCAAGTACGATTTCGCAACTTCCAACGCGGCACGTGACGCAGCTGCTGTGGTACCAGATGACGTAATCCCCTCGCACATCTCGGCTCCTCCCGTTGTGATAAGGAAGTCCCTGTTTGCTTTACTCCAATGTCGAGTTGAAGGGTCTGTTTAGAGAAACGTCCGACAAGACGGGTGATTTCCAGAGTTGAAATAAGCAGGCCACCACGTGGCCAAAACTTTTGCAGCTGCGAGGCAAGTCGCTGAACTGCTGGAAGTGGGGGGGTAGCTACTGTTTCAACAATGATGACCTAAATTTTGATTGGCTGGCACTTGAAGAGAACAACTAAATTCATGTTTGCAGGGTAAACAGAGTCTAAATTTGTGCTGCAATTGAGATGGCTACGTTTTCCGTACTTCCTTCCACCAGTAGGCGCTATTCTCTGTTAGCCTACAAAGGCTACCAAGGTTGAGAAAATTACTGAGGTTGGCTACCATTCCCATCATGCTCCCAGAAACTATGACCATTGATTGTATTACAGGGGGTGGTTATGGAAGGAGAAATTTAACACATCTAGGAAATGGGGAAGGTTGATATACATGCCTGCCCTTTCACTGCAGACTGATTTCTCAGAATAAGGAAACAATCCAGAGTTAGTTAGGGACCAACATCTGTGGGATAAACAGCTGAGGAACTGCAAATGTCTGGCAAGCGCTCTGCTTCAGTGGCTTGAAGTGGTGAATTAACAAGTCATCAAGCTGGGATCTGTCCTTGGCAGTAATGTACCTGCCTGGACTTGTTCTGGTGTGCCTAAAACTCTCAGTGACGTCTTCTGGCATAGTTGCTTGTAATGAGTATGTGAAGCTGTTACTATTTTTAATCTCTTTGCCTCTTTTCTAGCAACATCATCAGCATGCTGGACAATGCAGATGTGAGGGCTGTTTAGGGAAGTACTGCCCAAATAAAACAGACATGGGCATTGCAGTTCAGTTATGCTTTTGATCCAGAGCTTCTACATGCAGAGATGCATACATATTCAAATAAAGGTGGCTTGCCAAAGGGTGAAATTACTTTCAATTTATGCACCAGCCAGAAGGCATATTTGGATGCTCTCTCGTTGTCTGTTCCTCATTAATGGCATTCATCACTGAAAAATGGCATTAATGCAGGATGGCCTTCTTGGATGGATATAGAATATAAGCCTTAGCTGCTTGCCTTGTGAATGGAGGGGAGTTAATGAGCAGACACTAAACTCTAACGCTTTATTGGTTAAAGATATCAAATGTGCTGAAGTAGTTAATCCAAACTCCATTATGGCTGGAAGAATTCTAACATGTACAGAAACTGGATGATCATGCTGCATAAGCACAGAGCTGGACTTTGGCACTATTAATGCTGAAAAGATATGGATGGAGAAGTACTACTCTGCTAATAGAGTTATAGTCTATTTTTGGCTCAGGGTTTTCCTTCACAATTACATGGTTCTTAAAACAGGAACTTGGTTGTGTTGTATTGAGTTTCATGCTCTGATGATGCTGTCACAAGTGTAGATGTGTAAAACTGTATCTTTCATGTGTCTTTTCTATGCTTTAAATCTGAGGAGTCAGGTTATTATTTCAGGCTAATCCTAATCCAGTCCAAAGTGGAAGGTAAAAAAAGGCTAGATGGCTGACATTATGTCACAATGCAATCCTTTGCATGCATGCCGGAGGTACTTGTATTGTGATACTGTTTCTGTTGTCTTGCCCTATTTGACTACCTTCCTTGGTTGCTGCTGTCCTAATTTCTGTTTTAACAGTACTTCAGAATATAAGTAGATACAGTATTTGAGTCATGTGAAGTACCTTCTGGAATGAATAAATGCAAAAAAAAATCAGTTCTGAAACAAAACATTAGGGCTCACTGAATGGTGAGGATGTGTAAACAGTAGATATCTGATAATAGAGATTTTCACTTTCATAGGCCATCTTAACTTACAGCTTTCTGCACCATGTACAGCTTGTGTATCTTAAATGTGAGGCTTTCTTTCTTTTGTGGTGTACTTGCCTTTGTTGGTGCCCAGCAGTACTGTTCAGTAAGGAAAAGATTACATGAGAGAACAAAGTTAACATTTGGGTTGTGCAAATCCTTTAATTCTTCATGGCGTGGAAGCATTTCATTACTTATAACTATTGGGCAACTTTGCTGAAAACTGTTTAAACATTAGGAAGAACAATGCTGGCATGTATAGGGCAAAGAGCATCTACTTGGGAGCTGGTGAAAGTTACTCCAAAAAAACTTTAATTCTTCATTTATTCCCTGGCATGCTTCTTTCTCAGAGTGAACTTTTAGTAAAAATATGTCACTGCAGATCTCGTAAGTACAGTTGTATGCAGTTCAGTTCCTTTAGAGGTATTGGTGATGATTTTTAGCTTTCTATAGTTTGTGCCCAGAATACTGAAAGAGTCCCACTCATTCAAACTTGCTTTCCAGATAAGATTTTCTAATGAGACCTTAATTTGAGCCCTGCCACATTCAGCTGGTGTCACTAGGTGTGGTGGCACCTAGATATATTACCTCTCTTTCGAGGCATGTTTGCAGTCCTTTAATTAGACTAAATCATGCTATTTTTGTCAAATTCCAGTCATTTGAATTGGAATGATTAATTACCCTGTTGTGCTTTTAAAATAGATTTAGTTACTGTATTTTTTTTTATTGTTACTGGCTTGGGGGTAAAAAGTAACCTCTCTCTTTTTAAATGTTCCTTTTTAAATATTCTTTTTCTTTTTAAATATTCTTAATAGGAAACATGCCTCTTTCTGAGAGTAAAATCCTACAACCTTCCTGCAGCAGGAAACTATGCAGAAATCTCTTTGGACCAGTTGATCATGAACAGCTCCAGAAGGACTTTCAGTCCTTGATGAAGGTCCAGCTGGAGGAAGCCCAGCAAAAGTGGAACTTTGACTTTGAAACAGAAACCCCACTGGAAGGGAATTACAAATGGGAAAAGGTCTCTCACCTAAATATGCTGCCATCGCCAGATCTCTTAGACCACACAAAGGAGAACAGCTGTGCTGGGGAAAAGAGCCGGAGTTCTCCAGCACTTTTCAAGAGGCACACGAAGACAGAGAGACCAGGGCAGGTGGGCCTTGAAGCTCGTAAGCCTGACTCTCCCAGGTCTTTGAAAAGAAAGCAGACAAGTATTAAAGGTAAGAATGAGGCAGTTCTATTTGTCCTTTGTGTTAACTTATATAGGGCCTGTTAATATCCATTGCTGGAGCTGAAATGAAATTTCATAAAACACAAATCCCAATTCTTTAAAACTCATGATTTGAGTTCAAAAACTTAAGTCAGGACACAAATGCCCTATTTTAAACATTAAGTTATAGAGGATACTTAATTGCCACAGAAGATGTTAAGAATAGTGTGATGTGTTTTTGTGTGTGTTTAATCTTGAACACACTTAGTGTTCATCATTGGGAACTCTGGAAGTAAATTCATTTTTAATTTCTAGCCATGGTAGATACTTGTATAATGATAGCCTGCTGAAGCATTTTATGCATTTGGTTAAAAAATATGTAAGATCATAGATGGGGTATCTGTTCCACCCAACCACACCTATTCGGTTGAATGTCTTCCTTGACAATAGTGTCCAAATGCCAGTAAAGGAAACAAAAACTGGCATTTGGTAATTTCAGATGTATTTCCTGACTGTATGCCCTGTTACACAAGCTAATGCTGCACTATTAAGTTTTATCAAAGCTATGGCAGCTCTGGAGGTGCCGGGCCTTGGCCTATGTTTGTCTGAAATCTGTGAGCAGACCTACTGCTGTGTCTGAATCCCATTTGGGGACTCTGTCTTTTCCTTTTCAGAAAAAAGTTAAATTTGTTTTTCTGACCTTTTCTAGACTTCTACAGTTCGAAGCGAAGAACTATCCCATATAAGTCAAAACCATGATAAGTGCACTGCAAGCAAAGTACGTCCATGTAGTCTGTTGGCTGAAGATATTTATCTGTCTTCATCACTATTATCTGGAATGACCTACTTGGGTACCACACCCGGTGAAGTCACCCAGGATGGCTATTTTGAAGGACCAGCTGATCAGCATTACAACTCCTTGACTGAAGATCCTCAGAGATCTCTTATTTTATATAAACTCTGTAGCGGACTAGTATAACACTTCAGAAGGGTGTAGATATTAGATCATTGATAGCACTGGAGCTTTATGTGCAATGGAATATTGTAAAATCTTCCCTTTAAATATACTTAAAGTTGCAGGGGGAGGGATCATATCTAAAGGGCCAAGTGTGTAGGGGCCAGTGTGATGGACCCAAGAAAGGGCCAACGTACGTTCTGCTAGTTGCAGAGATCTGTTTTATGTGTCATCTACTTGCCGCCTTTTATGTGCCTCAGGAAAAGCTTGGTATGATGTCTCACTATGCGGGTGCAGGTCTAGGAATTAATATATGTACAGGATAACGTCTTAGGCTTGTGATCTTTCTGTCTCTTTTTACTCCATTATGTTTAAGCAAATATTGTGAGGGAAAGGAATTGATTGTTCTTTTTTTTTTTTTTTTAAGCCTGGCAAATGTTTTTTTAAAAAAGATGAAGAACCTGTGGTTATGGTGGGTACGGTTGTGCATCAAACCATAGCACTTACTGCTGTGAAGAGGGCAGGGAGTCCATGTTGGAGATATGGCAAACAATGTAGCCTTGGTCAGTTATTTTTTGGGTAATTTATATGTCCTTTTGTTATATAACTGTACAGGAGTACCTAACAATATAACTGCCCCATAATAATACAATTAAGACAGAAGATGGAACACATATTAGTGTGAGGGACAGGTATAATCATAAAATTGAGCATACATCACTACTGTCTTAGTTCCTTCTACCATACAGTATGTTCTTTGCCAGCATAATTAGCTATTGAACCTTTTTTAATGCAGATCTTTCAGTATGTATTTATGTAGCATTGTAGCGATTAGTGAGGGAAAATGGTGTGTGCTAGCAAGGGTTCATGTAGTGTAATCTTTGACTTTCCATTGCCGTATCTCACTGTGGCATAGCACATTTGTGATAGAGGTTGATAAAAGGACTTGGCCCAGACTTGCTTTCTGTAATTCCTATAGCTATCTGTGTTCTCTGAGCTGTCTTTAAATAAGAGGCATTGCCAAACTGGCAATTACATCACTTAAAGCTACAGCTTAGTTACTTAGTGTGAGATAATCTAATTCACAGATTTCTTTTTGCTTGGAATTTGGGGCTATTATAAATTCTTGCTGTTGCACTTTCCTGTCAGATATCCACATCTTAATCCTGGGTACATTGTATGATTATAATCAAAAGTACAGGCCTATAATATAATCAAAAGTTTGGAACCCATCTTTAATGGCAGTTTTGCTTGTATCTGCAATGCTTCTTTATCTCCATCTTGTTGTAATAATAAGGTAGGGACAGCATTCCATTGTCAGAATTTGTTACAATGGTGCAATGTGGTGTTTTTATGGGAATTGCTTCTTTTATTGGGTCAGCAGAAGCTGCAACTGGTTTGTAAAACCCACATTTCTAACTTGACTATGTTTTATGGTAGATCTAAATTCCTACACCACAAAGAAAATGTGGATAGTATATCAGCATCTGGTAGGGATTCCTAACCTTCTTGACTGGTGGGCATATTTTGAATTTTGAGAAAGTATTGCAATGCCTCACAAAAGAACTCCTAATGGGAAAAGAGCTTGCACGTTCATAAAATGGTTGGCATAGTCATAAAATACCAGTCTTCCAGAAGGGAAGCTGGTCAAGGTAAAAAGAAGTGTCTTGTCCAGGAACTCAGGCAGAAGGCAAGGGGCAATGTTTAGCAAAGCCACTTTTCTCAGTTCCTTTGGAGGCCTTAAACTCCAAAATGCAAAGCCACTTTTCTCAGTTTCCAAATCTGTTTTCCAAATGACAAACAAATGAGGCTCAAAAGAAAGCAGGGTGGCCAAGAACTGAATGCAAGGCAGAGGCAGAATGTGAGTTCCGTATGTCAAATTACACACAAAACCCATAAATGCAACAAAATGGCCATTTCACACCTGCAAAGTTCCTCCTCGACGCCAGGCAGCAGACACAGCACAGGCAAAACCACCTGCTTGCTTTAGTTGGCTAGGATGTGTTTTGCTACCTCCCCAAGCTTATCTAATTTTGTTCTGGATATTTGCACACCTTAAAGCCTAGAGGCTTTCTTAGAAATAAAATATGTTGGAAGTTAACACACAATTTTATAGCAGGATGGGGTTTTCTTCCCCCTATTTAATTTTGTAAGATGCTAAATTAAAAAAAGCAAAAAACAAAACAGTCAGGAAATCTAGCAATTGCCAAGGAAGCATCAGTGGGCAGCACTGAGCTAGCGTTTTACTCCTGACAAATAGCACAGATGCACGTGTGTGCTTTGTGAGTCTCTGGCAATTTTCCCTTTGAGTACAACATGCAGATGAGGAAAATAGATGTTAAAAGAGGAATGGCCATCTGCGGCCCTGGGACAGGGTGGAGTTGATAAACAGCACCAGAAATCAAAATGTCATTAGCCATATTTATGTTACAGAATATTTCAAAATCTGTGGCTTGCAAGCAAGCATTCAGTTCTAACCATGAAGGAGAAGCTTGCTTGGTTTTGGAGATTCATGTTGGTTCATGCCATGTGTATAAGTGCATGGTGTAAGGGCCAATCTGTCAGAAAAAGAAGCTTCAGGCACTTTTTTATATAATAAATTTGCTTAGGGTCTTTTGACCTTTTTGGTTAGAACTGCTATAGACATGTTTGGCCACTTTGACAGTTGCACTTTTACATTCAGGATAATGCTGGGACCCTTGAGCATTAATCCAGTTGTTTGTGAATATAATGCTGCTGAACTAAGTCTAGGATGTAAAATAAAGCCACTTCATAATGGAACAACACTTTGGTGTCAATTTCTTGCATGCTTCATTTAGAATTGAGCAAACTGATGTTATGTCCAGTTATGACATTTGATGGGCTTTTAAGAATAGTAATGGAGAGATTTAGAAGGTAAAGAGGATTATACTGTTAACTTCTACCATACCTACAAAGGAAAGTGAGAGAAGTCTGTGGACAGGGGGCTATTACAATTCCTGTCCACCCAGGGTGATACTAGGTGCAGTCCTTCCACAGAAATGCTCCATTAGCCCAAGCTTTTTTAATTTAACAGCATAATTTAGTGTGTAGAGAATCATTTAAGCAGTTACAAATCTTTAGCCATCTATTGGAAGATACATCAACATCTACTAATAGATCCAAATCTACTACTCACTCCTTCCTCAGGTAATGAAGACACCAGTACTATGGATGTGCCCTTTCTACCAAAGAAAGATATTGGATACATTATCATGAACCCATGGCAGAGTTTCTTCTTTTGTTAGGCTAGCCATTTCTATTCTGAAACGACATGATAGTGCTAAATGTTCTCTGAATGCAATATTTCATGGAATAGTTATGAACATTCTAGCTTCTGGTGAAAGTCCACAGAATATTAGTACGTGATGTGCAACTTCAGTTATAGAAGTGATACAGCTTTAGATGGGAAAATCCTTGTGAGGCTAGAAATTGGATGGGGAAAGATAAGAAAAGTCAGTGCAAGTGGTTCCTAGGAATTACAGGAAAGTAAACAGAAAGAACCAGACATAGAGACCATGTCTAAAGAGTGAGCAGACTGAGAACTGGAAACTTAAAAAAGCAGAAGTTAGGGAAAGAAATGAAGATTTTTAAAAAATGACAATTGTTGGCTGTGTTTGAACAGTCCACTGAATTACAGACTAGCTAATCTCCTTAAAGCCTAGCATTATGTGAACTCGGCTTGTGTAGTTTATGGTTTACTGTGCTTGCTAACCTGGAAAATTCAGTGAGTAAACCATGGCTCAGTTAACCATGGGTAAGTGCTGTGTGAAAACAGTCATATCAAACACAGCCTCTTCCATTGCTGTGATTCTAATCGATTGGGGCATGTTTTTGTTTAATTGTGGTTTACGGAAGCCACCATTATCTGAGTTCACATAAAGACACTGAATCACAAATTACAGTGGCTGAGATCCACACACTAAGCCAAAACAGTCTGTTATAATTAGTGCAATGTGTGAACCTAGGAAAAAGTGACTTTGGGAAAAGTTTAAGAAAAGGGAGTACAACTGATTGGTTTCTATACAAGTAATCTTTAGGAGAGAGGACATTTGTATGAGATTTCTGTATGTTTCGTGGCATAATGTAGAAGCACTTAACAAATCCTGCTTGGAGAAAAATTAATACAAAATGTGTTCTTGATAAACAGAGTCTAGGAATTGCAGAATAAAATACAAAAGTCCATAGTTACTACCTTGCAATATGTCAAGTGCTTTTCCCACATAAGCTACGAATTAGGTTTAAAAAAAAAACCAGGAGCTTGGGTCTGTAATTATGTTGGTCCTTTAGATGCTCAACTGGTACTACATCCTTGAATTTTGTAGGATGTTATTAGGGTGCAATTCCATTTTATGGCGTCTATCCAGGTCAACGTTTTGATTGTGACATCCTGTGCCGATGTCTTAACTTAGTATGAGATAAGCAGTGCACACATTGGGTCAAAGGCACCATTACTTGTTAAAAGTGTGCCAGTTAATAATGGCTAATCAATATACATTTACAGTCAACAATGTGACAGAAAGGGAAGCAGGCTATTACCCAGTTAGGAATTTTTAGGAAAAACAGCAATTAACCTGAATAAAGAAATTGCTCTTAGCTGTCATCTCAGACCAGCTTAGATTAAAACAAACATCTCTTCACCACAGAAATCCATGGTTGCACCTTTGCATAAGAAGTACTTTATGTTCAACATAATATATTTATTATATAACATTGAAATATATATTAAGATATTTCTACATCAATCATAGTTGCATGAACAGAGATTGGCATGAATTTGTGATAAATTGTTGCCATTCTTTATTTATTCTGAAATATGTCCTCTGCAGAATTGATTTGAAAAGGAATTTCATTTTGAGATCCTGTCTTACATTTAGCACAAAACTTGTAACAAATTTCTAACCTTGCATTAAATGTGGAAAGTAAGCCCAATTCTCCAAAATCTGTTGAGAAATACAATATAGGCCAGCAGCACAAATGGTCTCTGAGAATCTTAGGTATGTCCTCAGAGAACGCCTAAAGTTATCAAATGTAATATTTAAAGTAATGTAAGAATACTACATACATACATGAATGAGAAATAATCCTAACTATTTAATCTTAATTAAATGCAAAAGAAATAACATCAATTTTAAGTGTTTTCCTAGCTTCAGCCCCTCTGCTCTGTGAACTGCAGCCTCCAGCATGTCCTTAAAGAATTCCCCAGCCAGTGTGGGGAGCTGAAGTCCACACATCTTAGAGTTGCTAAGGTTGAGGAACCCTGCCTTAAAGCCAAATGCTGCCTAAGCCTAAAAAAAATAAATAAAAATGGGATAGCCCTTTTCTAGCTGAACCAGAGGTGGGTTGAGCAAGAAGGAAAATAACAAGCTGATGGTTCGGAGGAGCTGGTGAAATGAACCAGCAGCTGAAACCTCCCCCCTGCGCTGCAACTGTACCAACTTCCGCTTGAAAAATAAGGGAACCATCTCATTTAAGTGGACAAATCCTGCATGACGGAGCACCTGAAACTCTCTGTTTTTTAATTGACTGGTAAGTTTTCTTAAGAGTTCTGCCAGGGTTTAACTTCAGGTTATGCTTCATCTCTGACTTGGCTAAGAAGGTTTCCCTCCTGCTGCCCATTTTTGAAGCTAGATTTTTTTTTAACAGTGGAAATCGTGTCTGGGTTCACACACCACTCTAAAGCATAGGGTGTTTTGTCTGGTTTGGCTTTAGCATGTGGTATAAAGTCTGCTGCTGTAGTTTGGAAATCCTGGTTTATGACTTAGCATTATGAGTGAATCCAGCTAACTGGGACTTACTCAAGAACCCATAGTTAAATAAACTATGGCTTAATATCTGTGAATCCTGTCTCTGAATGCTAGCTGCTTGCAGAAACAGAAGCCAAAAGCTGCATGTCAAAATGCATGGGAAGAGTAGTTGCTTTTCCTTACTGCTCCTTTTTTCACATACTGAATCTCATCAGGCAATTATTAAAAGCACACAATGCCTATGAGAGACAACGTGATGTAGTTCCTAGAGAAGATTTCCCCAAAGGGGCACCAGCACATGATTTTGAAGTACAGTTAGTCCCAAATCCCCAGCAGCCAATTCAGGAAAAAAAAAATACATAAGTTATTTGCTTTTGGCATGTAATAAACTAATGTAGAATATATTTGTAAATGTGGACTCTGTATCAGGCCAGACTGTTTGCCTTGTTCATGAGGACTCAACTGGTATCAGCATTTTTGACAGAGAGGGGAAGGTGGGCTGCAGAGTGGGGTGACAATGAATGAGCTGGCAGTGTGTTGCCTGGGATTGGGGACAAAATGTGAATTCTTGAGAATTTCTTTGTTTTCAAAAACTATGTTAATTGTGTTTTACAGTTACTTCACAGTGTTTATGTTTCTCCCCTAAAAATGGTAGGACAGAAAGTGTTCTTCCTCTTGGAGGTCTAACTTCTAACTAGAAATTCTGGGCATTGAACATGGGACTTTCTGCAAACTAAACACACGCTATGGCCCCTCCACACCTGGCAGCTGGATATTTTAAATATATTTTATTTTATTTTGTCATAAGCCACAAATAACTTCATGGGTAGGAAGGAAAATAAAAATGTCTACAGGCTATAAATATTGTTGATCTATTGTCTGAGCTTGGCACTCGGTAACAGCCAAGTTAGAACCAGGAAGTTAGAAATCAGAGATTATGAACGTGGTTGCTTAAGAAAATACTCCACATATATGAAGGATTTTTTCCTTTTTCCAGGTGCAGGAGACCTAATGGGCAGCCTTAGGTAGCCAGTCACTTCACAACTAGGAATGTTTACTAGTTCAGGAAATGTCTGACAATCATCCACATGGGACAGACTAGACAGCTGGAGTATATAAATGTATGGGTTCCTGATTCTAATTCCAATAACCTTTGAGTGGGTTTAATTCAGAAATATGTCTCGGTTAGCAAGCAAATGCACTGATACTCTACACCTGCAACAACCCACTTTGATTGGTTAACCATGCTTGGATTTATACAATACCCTAGACCAATGTTTCTCAGTCTCAGCAACTTTAAGATGTGTGGACTTCAACTCCTGGAATTCCCCAGCCAGCATGCTAGCTGGGGAATTCTGGGAGCTGAAGTCCATACATCTTGAAGTTGCTGAGGTTGAGAAACGCTCCCTTAAACTACCATGTGATTGTCCAGATTGAGGCTCAGAATTGTCTGAACTCAGCCAGCTGATACAATTAATTTATGGTTCAGTGTGTTGTATAAACTATGATTCAATTAATCAAGGCTTAATGTGTGGTGCAAAAATTTGATGCAATTAATATTAATACTGGGCAATGTGTCTCATGTATCAGAATAATAAGCCTACTGAGGATGTAAACAAGATGAAGGATAAATACCCTCCCCACCCAGCCAAGCTGCCAGCCATGTACAAGTAGGGAATGTCTGCTAAAGGCAGAACATTTAGGCCTAGTCCCTGGGAGCAAGTAAGGAGCCCCTGTGAAAACCCACAAATATATTCCATTTCAGAGGAAGAGTTATTTAATTCTGAAGTCATGGAAAAGAATTGGGACTGATGAAAACAAAGAAGTTTTACATTATACAATCTGATATGCAGGTAAAGTAATGATTTAGTTACTCTGTTTTGGTATGACTGAGGTAACATAGTTTAATGGTGAATGAGCAAAGCTTGACAAAAATCTTACAGTCACTTCTGTTCTGTCACCTGCCCACTCTTCTTTCATTTTATCTTAAGAGAGGTAGCCTGCTATCCACTCTCCTTTGATGTTATTTATTATTTTTAAGGTATCGCTTTCCTTTTCAGTGTGAATGCATTATTCAGAGTACTATGCAACAGTTAAAATACTAGAATTACATTATAAATATTACAACAAAGCAATCTTACATAAAAATGAAGACAGGGTAAGCAAATTAAACAGAGGGCTCACTGTTACAGACATTTGTTGCCCAAAGCAAAAGCTGGAAGTTGAAGCGGAGCAGTAAGAGAAGTGACCCAGCCAGCCACTCAACCTGTTGACTAGCCATCTGAGCAGAGATTTCTGTCATGCCTAATGTTACATATGTTTGTACTGTTTTCAAAAACAGGCAGCTGAGTTACTTCAGAGCACAAAAGAGCTCGCCTGGAACATCTCTTTGGTGGCCTTGATGATGTCAAGGGCTACCTAACTATTGAAGAGTTCATTGGTGGACTTAATATGCCTTAGTTCAGTCTTACATTAATGCGGCTGGCTATGTTAATTTTTTGTATACTCCTTTGGGAGTAAGCCTCATTTAATTCAGTTAAACTTACAGCTGAGTAGCCATCACAGACTTCAACTGTGAAAGAGTACTTTTGGATCAAGCTTTCCATATGTATTTATTAGATCAGCATCCAGCCTTTCTCCAGGAGCTCAAGGCAGCTTACAGAGCGCTCCTTCCTCCAATTTTTTCCCATAAGAATATCTCTGTGAGATAGCTTGGGTGAGAAATACTGACCCACCCAACTAGTTACCCAGTTTAATTTCCATGCCTGACAGTGGAGCTGAACTTTATCTGGCTATTTATTCAAACAATTGCTCTGGCCCAGTCATGAAATATTGGGAGAAAGTTTTAGATGAAATTATCAGCATTGTCTTTGATTTGTACGCTTCTTTTATGTTTCCCATTAAGTCATCCCCCACTGATATCCATTAGGAGAAACAGATATAAAATAGCTGCTCAATGCCTTTTGGCTGGTAGAACAGAGAACTGTCTGTTTGGAAAACACTCTGGAAATTTAAAGTCCATTCAAGAAGGGCATTTTTTGGTAGGAGGAGCCAAGGGGAGCAATTGAGCATTAGACATCAGCACACTCACTTATTCACAATAAACCAGAATTCTGAAAAAAAAATTACCATGATATATGAACACAGCTATAAACTACTTTCTTTGGTATAATTCAATTATGTTAGTAAGGTAGAGGATAATATTTCCTTTGGGTTGAGCTGATAATTTCCTGGACGTGTCTACGTAGATTTCTTGGCAGCACTATGGGAACAACTGCCTTCTGGGATGCTTGACTTCCCTGTCTAGTCTAAAGCCCTGGACTCTCCTGATGTCTCCTGTTGAAGTAGAAACTGAGTCTGACTCTGCTTAGTTTTTTTAAGAATAGCCAAAGTCAGCTGATCACTAAGGATTTTTCATATAGTTACCAAATGCTCCAAATACATTTTAGTAACTATGTGATACCCCTGCAAAAGAGTATGTGGTATGATTTCATTTGTTTGTTTGCAGGGCATTTTCTGAGCTCACTGATCTTGATAAAAAAGGCAAGGAAGAGGAAGGCAGCTTTGATGAAGGCAACTTCAAACCTGGCCCTGGAGGAAGTTAATATTGAGGAGAAAAAACATTTTGAGGCTTTCATAAACAAATTGGGAGCTGATAATGTCTTTGAAGAGTAAGACAATATGATAACCTTACACCTGTTTCATACTGACTCTCACAGATTAATGGAAGCAGAATGGGAACTGGTGAAAGAGAAACAGATTTGATATAAATACAAGAGTTAATTAATATAAGGGGTTTAAAGGTGGAGGGTGAGATCAGTAAAGGGTATTCATATTAGCTTTACAGTAGAGTATCCCACCCCCATCCATTTTGCAGATCCCCTGTAAATTTCCTGCTTGTGCCCTTGAAATTTAATGGCAAAACACTGGGTTTTGGCAGTGCAATTTTAGCTAAAGAAGATGCAAAGTTAAATTTCCCTAAGCATCTCAAAAATCAAGCACCATCGTAGGGAACAGACCCACTATCGGAAGGATACAAAATCTGTTCCTGATTTTCCAGCAAAATTAGTTTCAGCTGCTTGATTTAGCACAGGTAGAAATCTTTTCCTTGGTTCTGTAAGTCATTCTATCATCTATCACTAGGCATTTATGTGCCTTTACAGTGTATTTTGCAGGCTGGTATCTCCAGCTGTGTGGAACACCAACTACCAGCAGCAAGCATAACACCTGTCAATTGATGTGATAGAATCAAGCTGGCATATATAGCGTAATACCTCATTTACCCAAGATATTTTATGGTTTACCTGTAAATGAGTCACTTCCAAGACAATTTGTATGGAGATATGGATATTTCAGCTTCGGCCATAGGAGCTTTTCAGCCTTAATGGACATTTCCATGCTGATCTGTTCATGTCCAGCTAGAACTTGGATAAGCTAAAATAATAAAAACAACTGAACTAGACTACTCACCAGGAAGCAATAAACTCTCCTCTTGTATAGCAAGTCAGAAATCTGGAAGATCTGGGTGCAGCTCTGGGAGGCAGAACCACATCTGCTGGGAAATCTGAAGGAGTTCTTGGCTAAAATGGCACACTTGATCAAGGAAGCTAAGCATGAAAAAGAGAAGATACAGTTACTACTGAAAATGTAGGTCACTGTATAGAAATGGAAATATGGGAAGTGTTTTCATTAACACAGATTTTCAAAATGGGGAAAACAACATAAATTCAGGAAAATTAACTATGGAACTGTATGGGAAGAAAGTAAACTAAGGACTCAGTAGCTGAATTACATAACACACTAAGCTGTAATTTAGTTGATTTGTTGATGACTAGTGCAATGTGTAAAATATAGTCATGAGATTTGTAAACCATATCTTATGGCATAGCATGTTACAAACACTGTGGCTTGTTAAAACAAATCATGGCTTTTTGCAATGTATGAACCGTGCCTACAACAGATGAGGGCAGGCGTTTTAGCTTCTAAGATCTTTTTATCAAGAGACAAAGCCTGGGTTCACAAATCCTGCATATTTTGCTGAACTATGGCTGTGGGATAAGCCACAATTAGCAGAGTTGATGCATAATTGCTGAATTCACATATTACTCTAAGCCATAGCATTATTTGTTTGGGTTTGGCTTAGTATATTATGTGAAGTCAGCACATACACTTGGGATTGGAGAATTGGGATTGGCTTTGTGTATCAGAATGTAGTATGCCAGGCTTTCTTCGTTTAAACTGTATAATTGGGTGAAGCAGAGGGAAGAAGTTAATAATTGGGAATTAGAAGTCATTACTGATCACTGCAAATGGTTCAGAGGTCAGATTCGTCATGAAATCTACTGTTTTTCCACACTGGCACTATATGAACCTCTAGTTTTAACACAAAAAATGAAAGATCATCAAATAGAGACTCGAGGAGCAATTTTGTTTCTTTAAGGTATCTTTTCTTAAACTGGAGCTCTCCAGCACTGTTGCAACATCTGGGAGTTATAATCCCAACATAGCTGAGACCATTATAGTGGGAAAGATTGCTCTGGAAAATCCCCCCAAATATAAGAAATAGGGGTAGAAGAAGTAGTGGGTATACCGATGGCTACTGCTCTACTTTAAGGGAACTGGCGAGACTATGCTCGTGTATTTGTTACAGAACGATCCTCCTGTAAAATTAGTTACAGAGCAGATTGAGCATGAATGAGTATAGTAACAGTTGAAGAATAGGTCTCTTCATGTGCATAAATCTCCCTTAACACCTTGTTATTGGCCCTCTGCTAGACAAATTTCTGATCACAATAAGAAGGTGCAGAAGCTATATGAGGAAATGGAGCAGCAAATTGAGAAGGAGAAACAAAAGCTGAAGAAGGAGGTAGGTGCCCAGTTGGGCCTGGCTAATTCCTAGGATTAATGAGGTTTCCTTTTCTGAAAGCCTGCCCTTTCTCAATAACTTGAGGCAGATTTACCTGCAACATCACATGAGTTTATTTTCCTATATAATCATTGGGGGGAGGGGTATGTTTCATCTTCCTTTTCTATGAAAGCAGAATTGAATCTGCCCATTCAGTGAGAACATCACAGGAAGGCCTATTAGAATTTAGGGAACATGGATGAGATGCCAGGTCTTCTCTGTGGCAGTCCTCTCCCCCGATTTTGGAATTCCTTACCTCCAGAGGTTTGTAAAGCTCCTCCCCTCAAGGCATTATGAACATAGATTGAACATGGTTCTATTCCTCCAAGCCTTCAACCTTATTTCATTGGTAACAGTGTCTGTTTTGGGGTGGGGTGGGGGGGTTGGTTTATATTTGTATACAATTTTATATTTTTACTCTGTTGTAACCCACCCAGAGTCTTTTGACTGGGGCAGGCTATAAAAACTGTAAATAAATGAATAATATGAGAGGTCCAGGAAAAGTGAGATCAAAGTACCCATAATCCAAAAGTGGAGGAGGAATAAGTGTCCTTCTCCAGAAAGGCATTCAGAGCTGAGCTGGCTCTACTTTAAAAGCACTGATCATATGTTAGAGAATTTATTTATTTATTTATAATGTTTAATGTTAAATTACTTCATATTTCTTTAGCAGAAGAGAAGAGGGTGGAAGCTGAGTAGCAATGCCCAACATGTAAAGGGGTGAGATGACAGGAGCTGCAATTTGCAACGTCTAAGAGACTACAGGTTCCCTCTCTTCTGTAGGAAGATACAGTACAGAAACACAGCAATCTTTCTATCACCCTGAAATGGTCATTCATATTTCACCTGACCCAGCCTGTAGTAGTGAAAATATAAGGACTCTGTACAGGTAGTCCTCGACTTACAACCACAATTGGGATTGGAACTTCCATAGCTAAGCGATGTGGTTGTTAAGTGAGTCATGCCCAATTTTATTACCTTTTTTTGCCATGGTCGTTAAGCGAATCACTGTGGTCATTAAGTGAATCACATGGTCATTAACTGAATCTGGCTTCCCCCATTGACTTTGCTTGTTGGAAGCCCCCTGGAAAGGTTCCAAATGGCTATCAGATGATCCCAGGATGCTGCAACTGTCTTAAATATATTGCCAAGTGCCTGAATGTTGATCATGTGACCATGGGGATGCTGCGACAGTCGTAAGTGCAAGGACCAGTCATAAGACCACTTTTTTCAACACCGTCATAATTTTGAACAGTCATTAAATGAATGGTCGTAAGTCAAGGACTACCTGTAGTGTCCAACCTTCAAAGTCCATCTTACCATGTTTTTTTTTCTAATCAACAACACTTTCCCATGGGAAGATTTCTTATAATTAGTTTCAAAATCTTTATATATATATATGATAAATTTTAAACAACCACAGGAAGGATTCTTGTAAGTAATTTCAAAATTTTATTTCAAGTCCCTCTAGCCCCTTAATCTGTTTATAACTTTTCAAAATCAACGCTCTAATCACCCTTTTGCTGTTTATTAAAAAATAATAATTTTTTAAAGTCCTTAAACTTACCTAAAACTTCTTTTGCCAAGGTTTGAAGGAAACTCACCCAGTGTGATGAAAATTGCCTTTCTGAAGGTTCTTAATACCCAAAAATCCATTAACAAGCCATTTCCAAAAGTGATTAAGAAAGGAAGTACATGAACCCAGTGTCCTTTTGAAGGCTCCGAACCATAGCTTGGGCAGAGATGACTTTCCCTCAGTTCCCAGAGCTCTAATAACTCGCCAGAGACAGCTGTCTTATGGTCTCCTGATGGGGAGCCGCTGTATGGAGTGCTTGTGGGCAATCCTGGTTTTCTCCTTGCCCTGGAGAGGAATTCTGAGGAGCTGATCCATTTGCTGGATCCTCATTCCACTGTGGTTGTTGGCTCCATGGGAGTCTGCCATTGCTTCCCTGGAAGTCCAGTACCTTCCAGTATTTTAGATCTCATTACTTAAATGAAGCCCAGCCATTGCAGAGAATGGAAGGGACTATGGGAGTAATAATGTAGGGAGGAATCAGGTTGAAGAAGGGTGGCTTACATTGCTTGGCAATTCTGGCCTTCTATCTTCAACACTCCTTATTTTCCACTTATGGCAAATGTTGATTCTACACCATTCCTTAGAGTAAATTCAAGACGAATTTATCTTATTAATTTATCTAAGAAAATAAAAATGTGGAATTCTCTGTGCATTGATGTTGAAATGAAATATTACATATACATTACACTGAATACATTAAACATCACATATACATTTTAGCCACCATAGGGTTTATTTACATTATCCTATATGCTTACTGATTAATGAATAGCTAACCTATGTGTATCTTTATGTTGCCACAGTGGCACCATCCATGCATAACAGGGAAGTATCAGTGGGGAACTCCAAACATTGTAAAAGTATTTTGGGGTGAGAGACCTAACAGTGAAATCCATAGACAGGACCATGAATATTGGGCAAGGGATGAACTGATTGTACTGGAACACAAAAAGAGGGTGGGTGGGAGTCGAATAAAATATCCTGGAAAAATGTTATGAGAGGCTGCCAGTCTGTCTAGAAACCTGAACCAAAGGCATAAGGCAAACTTTTCTTGCAAGCCCCACTTATAGCCTTAATTAAATAAAGATAAGCCACATGTATGGAAATGCATTTACCAATTTTGGGTTGTTGGCTTTTGTTTTTGTTTTGGCACCCTTATAGTTTTATTGCAATTTACTATTGCAGAGTAAAGCCAGGAGCCAGTTGCATTACATGGAGATGCAGGAAGAGTTGGATGTCAGAGAACAGGAAATCCAGCATTTCTTCATTGTACAAAGAGAGGTAAAATATCAGTAAGACATGAAGTAAGCAACCACTTCTTCAGTCGTTCGCAGCACTGTGGCATGTTCTGACTTTAAGATGAAATCTACTTTATGTTGGCATCCAGAATAATGAGAGTTTATTTTTTGCAACGGAAACAGTGCCACCTCCTGGAAGCTTGTCCTCTGTTCCAAACTGGAAATGAGGTTCTGTTGTATGTTGGACGTCGAACCAAACCACCATTCTCAAGCTGCTGTTTTCATCCAAATACTTCCAATATTATCCAGGAACAGTGGCTGCTCTCTAGTGCAAGCCGAAGGTGACACCACTTTGCAACCCTGATACGAAATATTTATTTATTTACTTAGGCTTTTAAGCTGCTTTAATTATGATTGACTCCAAGCAAGCAGCTTACATTCCTACTTTCCAGTAACAAGATTAAAACAATACTCTCCCTTTGTACCATCAAGAACAACAAACAAACCCAAGTACATAACATACCTTACTGTAGGAGGGGCCTAATTCCATCCATTCCTGAATGCTTTCTGGAACAGTCTGCATTTAATAGCTTTAATTAAGCAGCAGGGTTGGTGACAGCCTGATCTTGGGAGGGACGTTGTTCCAAAGGAGGCAGCAACCGAGCCAGCTCTCCCTTGTGGCCCCTGATGTTGACACTCCTTGTGGGGGTCCAGAGAGAGACCTCCCATCCACATCCTCTTGGACAGGTTGAAATACCAGTGGGAGGCATCTATTGTTGAAACCGTTCTGGTATCTTTGACCTTTACTTGCCTGCCTCCAATTTGCTGCCTGCTATTACTGATGGAGTGCAATTCCCAAACTGCACACTCAGAATTCCCATTGGCTGGAAATTATGCAAACTGCAATCCTTCGGGAGATCACCAGACTGAAGAGATCTGTTTATCTATGGAACAGAGTTCTGCTAGGTGGCAACATAAGAGCAAAATAAACTACGTCTTGCTTAGTTCAAGAATACTCATTCTCAGATATTAGTAATATTACCCCCTCCTCTCCCCAAACCACAGCCACTTGGTCCCTAGTGTTTCCTGGAGGATTTTTAAACATGTCAAGGACTGTTTCCAATGGGAGCTTATTTCCAAGCCCAATTTCTAAACATACTGGACAAAACGCTTTCAAACAGAACAAGTATTTTTCACATTAGGACACTTATCATTTTTCTTGTCTTTAACCGTGTCACAGCCAGCAGCACCCAACAGTTTCATCTTCCCCCGCTGTTTCTTTGTGTGTGGGAACAGATGAAATCCACTCAGTTTTTGCCATTTCCCAATTTTTAAATACACAGGACATTTTACTTAAAAAGAGTGGGGGGGGGGGACAATGCTTTTTCAACTGGGTGGAGTGCCATCCGTCTTTTTCCAGTCAAGGTTCTGATCCGTGAGATTTAAAGCATTCAGTTGCAGAAGAGTCTACCCGACAAACAAGGTTCACTGGGCCCAAGGCAAACATGGTTATTAAGCGTGGATGGACGGGAGAAAGGCCAGAGGGGGATTTCATATCTTCTTCTTCCCTACTGCTGCTCCACAACCACTGAAAATGCTCAGAAGGTGAAGAAGAGAGTGGGAAGCCACAGGCAGTCACGATAGCAGCCGGAACCCCCACATTTGCTAGCCATCCATTCCCTGCTCAGGACTTGTGCATGCAATTGCTCATAGCAGTTGGGGAGGGGAAAAAAGGCAGCATCAGGGCAGCTCATGATGGACACAAGGCTCTTGCGGGGGAGAATGGAAAGGTGCAGGCAGTTTTGTCTAACTTTGCCTTCCTTTCCCCGAGGGTCCAAATTAGGTCCCCTCTGTAAGTATGCACTTGCTAGCCCTGTTCAGTGTTTCTCAACCTTAGCAACTTTAAGATATGTGGGCTTCAACTCCCAGAATTCCCCAGCCAGCATTAGGTTCCCTCCCCAGCGTGTTGGCTGGGGAATTCTAGGAGTTTAAGCCCACATATCTTAAAG